TAGAGAGGATGAACATGGAACCCCCAAAGAACAGCTGCACCGCCAAAGCAATGAAATATTTCATCAGCCCTGCTGGACCCTGCAGCAAGGAGGCGTGCCTGTTACATTACCCTCCTTCTCCAATGACGGCCCCTGGACTATATCATGTGATACTTGCTTCCTACCATATTAGCCAGAAATGGTGAGTTGAAAAATGTTTTCTACCTTTGTCTTTTATCTATTTTTACTTTCTCATCATGTCCTTCTCAAGAATTCAAGAAGTCTGAGCAATGTTATCTGTCTAAGACCTGTCAGGGCCATAATGGTTTAAATATCCAGTAAACAATAACATAAATAAATGCACCACTCGAGGAACACAAACCAGAACATTATTTAGGCTGAAATGTGTCAAAGATCCAATCACACAAAGTTGCAGACCCATAGGTAGAGAGCTCTTTAAAAGCTGGTGAAATCGAGAGGGTTTGTTTTTTAACACTAAAACCATCAAATCCTATGTTTTAATGAGAAAACTGGACATGAAATATATTTCAATATAAGAAAAGAAGTGTTTATATATGGCTTATTTTCCACTTAAATATCGAAGATTTAAATCTAGACCCATATCCCACTTCTATTCACATAAAGGAAAAATAGGCTATCCCACATGGTGAAAAGTGAATCTGTTGACTTTATTTATTCTTCAATCTTGCATTTTCAATGAAATAGTTTTCCTTGAGTTACCTAAACCTTTTCACCCTTGTTGGTGAAGCATAACCCTTACCCAAATTAATGTTCAAGCACTCTTTGTGACATGACACCAGATTAATTTCTGCTCCTCTTCTCTATAAGAAAATGTTTCTATTTGTCAGTTTCTTTAAAGATGTTAACACAGTCCCAATATTTGGAGACATATTAGACAGAAGTTATTTACAGTGACTTTTTCCCATTGTGCTTGGGTAGCTAATCATTAAAGGGAGCTATTTCTCAGATGGAGATTAGCGAGAGGTTATTCCATCCGTTTGAAAAATGTAATTCAACAATAGTGACTAATCCTGTGTACATAAAGGAAGAAGGAAGGTATGTTCGGTTGTTTAGTGAGAAAGAAGAGATTAGATCTTATAATCTCACAGTTTTGTTTTGTTGTTGTTGTTTTTTTCATTGACCCCAGGTACATTGTAGACCCTAAAAATAGACCCAATACTTGATTAATTTCTATACATGTTTTACTATAATACAAAGGATAGTCTAGAGGTTAATGAAACCAGTTTATAAAGTCAAAACTTTCTATTCCCTATATGTACCTAAAAAGTCTTCTATAATGTTTTACAAACTGCAAAATGGATTCTCTAGCAAACTAAATCCAGTAGCTCTAACATGTTTCTAGTATATATTCAGACTTGAGCAGATATGAGATAAGAAGAACATACTAAAGTGGCAATAAAGGTAAATATTTAGAGAATCAAGTAATTATTTCAATGTGTCTTGCAAAACACAACCTAGAAAAATGTTTGGACACTGTGCTTGACCTAGATAAGCCTTTCACCAAGAACCTCTTTATATCTACACTAGAAGCCCGGTGCACAAAAATTTGTGCACTCGGGGGGTCCCTCAGCCCAGCCTATGCCCTCTTGCAGTCTGGGACCCCTTGGGGATGTCCCCCTGATGGCTTAGACATCCCTCTGGCAGCCCAGAAGCCCTCAGGGGATGTCCACTTGCCAGCAGGAAACAGGCCTAAGCTGCAGTCGGACATCCTTAGCGCTGCTGAGGAGGTAGGAGAGGCTCCCACAACCACCACTGTGTTGGCAGCCGTCAGCCTGGCTTGTTTGCCCTGAAGGATGTCCCGGATCAGGGTGGGGGTCCCGCTGGGGTGCCTGGCCAGCCTGGGTGAGGGGCTGAGGGCCGTTTTCAGGCTGGCCATGCCCCCCGGCAACCCAAGCTCCCAGTCTCTCTCTTTTTTTTCCTGGAATTTATTTATCTTCTATAATTGAAACTTTGTAGCCTTGAGCGGAGCCCAGGTCTGGCCAGGGCAGGCAGGAAGCTTGGCTTCCTCCATCACCAGGGGCAACTCAAGCCTCCTGTTTGCTCCAGCTCCATGACTGGCAAAGCCCGCCACCCTCTGGCCTTGTCTACTTTCCTCTAACAGTCTCATCCTACCCCAGTATAAACCTTATTTCTGTTCCCTAAGGACAGCAACCTCATTCCTAGTTCAGGACCTTATGCCTGCTCTTCCCTCTGCGTGGTACACATGGGATCTTATATCTGCATTTAGATCTCAGCTTAAACATCACCTCATCAGATAGGTCTCCATTAGTAACACAATACAGAGTGGCCTCATCACTGGATGGTGTTTTCCTTACAAACTTCTCTGTGTCCTCCAAGAAGCATATGCTATGGGACAGCAGGAGCCTGGATCCCCAGAGCTTGGAGCAATTGCTGGCACATGGCAGGTGCTCCAGAAATATTTGTGGAGCAAACAAGGCTGCAAACTTCTTTGTTGAATGCTAGAAGAATACTGCTTGCCTTTCACAATAATCTGGGTTTCTTTCATCTTCTTGTGGATAGTGGTAGAAAGAAAGACAGCCCAATTATCATGCAAAGCCATTCCCTTTAATGTTTTGTGACACTGGTATTGCTTTTGCTCTTCCAAATTTGCTTCATGCTATCTGATACATAATTTAATCTAATTTCCCACTGTGCTTGTTTATTCGACTTGAGTTGAACACTTTCATGCATTGGGTAGTATGCTTATCTGTGTACTTCATATTTTGTCTATTTAGTTCATTTTCATGTCCTCAAAACAAATGTGTGGCCACTTAATCATCTGTTTCTATTTCCGTGTGGTGTTGGTATAGACTGTGTTGTGGCTTGCAGAATCCAAACATCAATTAAAGGCATCTTCTGACTAGGAAATCTGACATAAAACACTAAAATATTTCTTTGCTCAGAATTATTTATGGAGCTATGGTTATTGTTTTTGCAAAACATAGACAATGCTCTCACAGTTGTGGAAAAGAAAGAAAATGATTAAAGGATTGCATGGCTTTTTTTATGACCTTGATTCGGACTAATAAATTAGTAGATTGTTTTGTTTGTAAAAAAAAAGAAGAAGGTAATTGGAGAATTTTTCAGTGTATTCAACATGAAAAGCAAAAAGCAAAGCAACTAGGAAAAGCAGTTTTCCATTTACAGTGGTTTCAGGTACAATGGTCGGCGCATTCCGAGAGAAATACAGCCAGTATTTCTTTTCATGAATTTTTTATACTTGAATGTAGGAATCAAATGTGAATTCTGCCTTACTTTGTGTTCCTATGTGAGGGAGGCCAATACATCATAGGGAAGCTCACCCTGGCAAGCCTCAAACTGAGACTTTGTATGTATGAAGTTCTACAGATTATAGATTTACTGCTATAATTAATACCTGGAGACAAAAACACTGGCAGTATCTTTGCAGTCCAGTTCACCTCAGTTATAGCACAACTCCAAAACTTCTTCAACGCCATGAGACCAAATTCAATGATCCTATAATTTCTCACTGGCCCTTGCTCCTTCTAAGGCTCTTCTTCTCCTTGCCCAGTTTAAATTCCAAGGCCAATCATAATCCTTTCTTCACATGCACCCTCAACCCCTTGACCACAACTCCCTCAACCACTCATCTTTTCTTGGCAAAACAAACAAACAAACAAAAAAAAACCAATCCTGGTTACATCCAATTCTTTGTCTTCCTGGAACCTAACTTCAGGCAAACAAATGGGGCTGAGCACACACACGCATGCACACACACACGCACGCACGCACGCACGCACACGCACCTTGAATAAACTTGAGACACCTTCTTCCAGACTCTAGGTGTCAGGTCTTCTTTTTCTTAGAGCATTTACTTGAGGAAGTCTGCAACTGTAAACACTTAACCTGCCTCTTTGAGATGCAAAGCTTCTCCCAGCCTTTGCCAGTTTTATAGCCCAGAAAGGTCTTTCTCAAGGACCTAGCAGCTCTGCCTTACAAATGTCATCATAGAAGGAGACAGGGCCCTATCCCCCAGTCTCTGGGGGAGGGTGGGAGCCTAGCTTCCACAGGGATAATGAGCAAACAGTGATGACCTAGTCACATTGCCCAACCGCCTCCCCACCGCAGTACTTTTCCACCGGCTCACCTCAGCCCTTAAGAGTCCTCCACCTTTCATTCCAGCACAGTTGAGTTTTCTCTCTCCCCTACTGCAAGCCTTAAGTAGGCTCTCCCTGGCCTGTTCAGCTTAGATTTGGGATTGCACGCATCAAGTGGAGCCTGAATGATGTCCCGCAATCATACTGTGCTTTGCTAGTCCATCCCCTTTCATTTTTCTCGCATTACCTCCTCTGTCCTCAAACCTCTCATACCTCTACTCAGTCCTCATTCTCAGTTGGGATGACCTTGCTTTCTAGATCACCAAGGAAACAGAAGATACCAGAACAGGTTTTCTCCAAGCACCCAGCTGCACATGTGAGACACTCTGCCTCCCCTGTGTCTATGGGCACCAGAGACCCTATCCTCAGGATGCTGCCTGTGTCAAACCCCTCTGTCTCCTGCTTCAACATTTTTTTTGAGTTTCAAAGGTCCAGAGAATAAGCAAAAATGACACTTTCACTTTCAGGCACATAACGATGTGTGAAAATATACTCATGTGCTAATAAAATATATACTCAACTGTTAATTCCCCTTGTAAATCTGCTCATCCGAACCTTCAGAGGGGTGATTAACTACACTCTTGCTTCATGTGGACGGAAATGAGATAGAAATATGCCAGCTCCCATTCTTGGAAGTCAACGTGACCTTATATTTGCTACAATCAAGTTTTTCTCCCTCTGTAGTTGATGTGCACATTTCTGACTATGAGTAAATGTCAGATGTGCTAAGCTGCTTTTTATTGAAGCTGAATATAGAGCTATAAAATATTTAAAAGGTCTCCCTGCGGTTTGTAACTCATCATTGCAAAGCTCTAATGGGCTAGGTCCCATCGGGAAAGTTCAAGTGTTAAAAACAATTACCTCTTCAAGGACGTCAGCAAGTTTACTGAGGATCTCTTCAGGAAGGCTCTGGAATGTGGGAACACTGAAAAACAAAACAGATGAACCTGAAGGCATGAACAGTGACTTACTTTTATTTAAAACACACACACACACACACACACACAGACACACACACACACACACACACAACAACAACAATAACACATACAGCAGTGTATCTGAATGAAAATGCAAAAGCCTTCACGACAAAGAGTCTGCAGATGTAGGCCAAAGCAGTAACTTAAGCATGGATTGATGACTAACAAGAAAAGGTATATTTTCTGTGAAAGAGCTTGGGGTTTAGACAGAACCTAGTTCAAATCCCACTTGTATTTATCTGGGTGACCTTAAGTGTCCCAGCTATAATAGGGAAAACACACTTTTTCCCTTAGCAGCCTGCTGTCACCACATTCCTTTCAGTTCCATCTCCCACTTTAGGTCCTCTGTCCCCACTGCTCCACACGCCCCCCTTACATACATACATACATACATACATACACACACACACACACACACACACACACACACTCTTGATGATATATGCAGAACAGCGAGCACTCATCAACAATGTTGGGAGCTTCCAGTCTTCCAACACTAGATTAGGTCCTCCTATTATAAAGTCTTTTATCCCCTCCTATAACCATATTAGATAATGGGATATTTGTTACTGGCTGTTTTCCCTGATCAAATTAAGATGCCACAAAAATAGGAGCACTCTGTCTTGTTCAACCCCTGTGTTTTCAGTGATTCACGAATAACAACTTGGGAGCATGTGTTGAGTACAGGGATGAAAGCATGGATGTGGGAATGCTTTCTAGCACAGTTGAGAGGATCAGATCAGGCAGAATGGAGAAGAGCCAGACTCATAGTAGACACTAAAAAATGTTAATTCTCTTCTCACCCTCTTCTCTTATTTTTCCCTTTTTGACCAATAAATAAAAATATTGTATGATGTTGAATAAACGAACCAACAAAACTTCTTTTATATGTGAAATAGTAATGACTTAAAAAAAATACTCTTCAATATATCATTCTTTAAACTCCACTGGAAAATCTAACTGGGATGTGGAACTAAATTCTCATTTAATCCTACCTCAATGCTTAAATAAGGGGGGGGCTCCACATGAGTGCATGTACATCTGTATTATTATATTTGACTTACAGAGTAGTTCTGGCTTGATTAGAATTATATAGGCACTAGGCTGAGGGTTTTTTAGATAATATAAATTTTATTCTTACAACAGCCTTATCAAATAACCATTATTTTTGTCACCCATTTTACAGTTAAGACCACGGGGATCTTGGAAACTTGTCCTAGGTCACACCACTCAGAAGAAAGGATGGACATTTCCATCTGAATGACTGTGAAGCTAATCACCTACTGAGCTATGCACTTTACAGTGAAAGTATTTAGAAATGCCTCATGTAACTTTCAAAACAGTGCTACCTTCTTTTAGGTAATAATTTTGAAATGAATCAATAATACTAATAAGATAATTTAGTGACTTCGTTTGTTAACCAACTTTTTACTATGAAAACGACAGCAGTGTGTGAAGGCCTGAGGGGTGTGGGAGGCAGGGTTGAGGGGTCAATGGGGGGAAGAAGGGAGACGTCTGTAATACTTTCAATAAATAAAAACATTTCTTAAAAGAATAAAAACTGAAGAAAAGAAAAATGTCAAATAAATTAAAAGGCAGAATAGTTCAAGCATCACCTGTATCCCCACCACCTAAAACTGCAGCTGTTAACATTGTGCCATCTTTGCTTTATCTACCCGCAATCCTTCTATTTTTCTAGATGGGTTTTATAGTCATTTAATGAACTTTTTGATAGCAGATTATCATCAAACTTCACCCCTACTACTTTAGCATACATGTTCCTAAAAATAACATGTTCCTAAACAAGTAACTATGAACCATCATCATAGGTAAGAAAAATTAACTACAATTCCAAAATATCATCTAATAGCTGTTCTGTTAGCAGAGAACTAGCACCAGAACATTAGGGGTGATTAGACCTCAGTTCAGCAACCTCAATACTTGAGTTCTGGGAAAGGCTGCCCAGGGGGTGAGGTGCAACTCTACAATTGTCTTTGTTCTCCACCCTGGGTGATTTTCCATGTCTGGTCTATCATCCTTGCTCTGCTCATGCCTGTCTAACTGCCCACCCAATCCCATATGCCTATTGTTCAAAAATGTATTTATTTTTCAAGCCAGGTTCCATAAAAATCCACACACTGCTTCTGGCTGTTATGTTTCTCTAGTCTCTTATTCTACACCATCCTCCCACTTCCTTCCCACCCCCCGCAACCATTATTACATTCACTTTTTGAAAATTTGGGGGACAGCTGTCTTTTTGGATGCCCCATATTCTGAATTTGTCTTAGTAATTTTATTTCTGGTAACCTAGTGTGTGAACATAAAAACTGAGGGGGGGGAAATCCAAGTGCAAAGAATGTTATTCCAGCCAGGTGGCTGCAAAATAAACAAGCAACAAAAAATGGGGCCTCTTATAGAATATCATTACCTCAGTAACAGTGCTCAAATGTGTTCTGGGAGCCCAGGATTCCCCAAGACCCGTGCATGGGGGTCCTCAAAGTCAAAGCACGTAGTCTAAGCTGCCATTTGCCTTTTTCGCTCTTCTTTCTCATGTGTGCAGCAGAATCCCCCAGAGACTATATGACATCACTGCTCTGATGGCTAATGCATGTGTACTTCTATGTTCTTGTGCTTTGTTAAACTTTTAAAGGTAGTATTAGGTTTGCCGTATGTGTGCTATTTACAGAAATTAACTCAGTACCATTTCAGTTCTTTGTGCTTCTCTGAATTAATTATCATATACCTGCTATAATCTCTGTACCTTATTATAAACAATAAATCATTCCTTCGAACTTCTGAAGTATTCCTTCTGCCTAAGAGGGAAAACAATAATTAAAAATATTTGGACACCTTGCATTGCAGTAATAGTTTTATATCTTTTCAAGAACATTTTTAACTTTTTAAATTTTATCTAAGATAAAATTATTTAGAAATTTGTAAAAATTATCAATATTAAGAATTTAATTAAAAGTTTGCTTTTTTATATTTTTCTTATTTTTAAGGGTAGATAATTTACTTGAAAGGAAAAAATTGTAAGATTCTTATGCTCCTGCCAGAGCTGCCAATTTCTAAGTCTAAAGACACTGAAAAATATAAGAAGGACACAGCAGAGAGTTTTCTGACTCATGGGGGGACAATCTAGTCCAAAGAAATTGGAGACACTGGTGATAAGAGATAGAAATATGGCAAAACCTATCATTCCTTCAGCATTATAGGTGATAATAATTTACCGTATTGTCAACAGAATATTTAAACAATAATATTATCATGCCGGTTGTAATATCACCTTGAGCCTAATTACTCAAAGTTTCAAGAAGAGAATATTGAGTTTTTAAATGTAGACATGATAGAGTTTTTAAAACCCAACATATTTTTGATGGGGCTTTTCAAATCAGAAGTGGAAGAACAAGGGAAGCATTTTACAGGGTGAACTTCCACCCTTCAGTGACTCGAGAATCCCACAGGATGGCTGAGAGACCACGAAAGCCTTGCAGAGCAGACTCTACCGAATGCCTGTTGGGTGAAGCCAGTGGAAAAAAAATCACTGCACTGCCTCTTGCCAAAGATATAACACCTTCCTGGATTTAAGATGAAGCTGCAAACACAAAGACGAGCTGAGATCTTGCCTGTGGAATTGTACTTAGGATTACAAATGAATTCATCTATATTCGTGGCTGGACTTGCTGTTTCACTTGTCTTCACCTGGCATCAGAACCAACTAATCACCAAAGAAGGCCATTTTATAGGAATTCTTAGCAATAAACACACGTGGTAGTGAGCTATTCACTAAAGAATAACTTCAAATCTTACAGTTTACCCTGAAACAAGTCAATTGACATTGATACCGATGATGCAAGAGCAAAGGTGGCCCCGCAGTACAAAGTAAGGCAGTAACACCAAGCTGCACTCACTGTCCTGTTCTGCATCACCACATACTCACAGTAAAATAAAATGACAATTTTAATTGAAAGTGCTTTGAATGAAGCAGTAAAAATTATTAATTTTCTTGTTTCAACCCTCGAGTATGGATGTTTTTAATAGTATGGGACAAATAGCAAGTCCATATAAAGTGCATTGTCTGCCTACTGAAGTATGATGGTTGTCTCAAGGAAAAGGACTTATGTTGGAGTTGCAAGCTGACTTAACACTTTTCTCATGGAATGTCATTTAATGTCATTTTTACTTGGCAACAACCAACAAACTTTGGTTAATCAGACTTGAGTATCCAGCAGACTGTTTTTAAAAAAAAAAAGTGAGCTGGTCACTTCAAGAAAAACCACAGACAGTATTTGTTGCCAGTAATAGCATTTGAACTTTCAAATTAATATTAAAACTTCTGAAAAATTGTATCTGTACTGTGGGCTTAACAGCTTGTCAATACTTGAAAACTGTCGGATGAGATCATTTGGTGATATATTGATATTAACAAATGAGAGCTTTTTGGAAATTCAGTGAACCAGTACTTTCCAGATGCCCAATGCATGATGTATTGAAATCACGCATGGAGAAAGATCTATTCAAAGTGCCAGATGGATCAATGGATTTCAGTGTAATGAAGTATGAAAAGTTCATTGAGATGGTTTCTGATCCCCCATTGCAACTAACTTTTAATAAATTACTATTTGTTGGGCTTTGTGGGAGTATCAAAGGCAAATGTCCACAATTACCTGAAAAGGCCATTAGAATACTCCTCCCGTTTCCAACTACATATCTCTGTGAGGCTGATTATTTTTGTAGACTTCAACCAAAGCAATAGAAATTCAAAAGATGCGCTGCAGAATCAGACATGAGAATCTTCCCCTTTCTATCAAGCTAGATACTGACAGATTTGTAAGAATGTAAACTAAAACTTTTCTTTTCACTAAGTTTTTTTTTTCTTTTTTTGGAACATACGGCTATTTTCATAAAAAGTAGACTCTTTAGAATAACATGCAATGTGTTTGTT